ATATAATATATAGACGTGATAGACTCACAAACCCCCTCCCCCCTCTTGAAATTACGTAATAAACGGCACTTCCCTTAGTATTGCCATTTTAGTTTTTATCTCGCTCGCTATTAAGCTAACTCTTATATTATAATCTGCATAAATTTCATTCACCACATTGTCAGAAAAATCCTCCTTCAACTTTTCGTTAAAATTTTTTAGTTCTTCGTATAAATATGCATCAATACCATCTTGATCACATCCTTCGGCTTTATAATAAGGATTCATTTCGTTGACAAGTGCTTGAAAATCATTCAATGCGTTTCTCTTTTCGTTTTCTGCCTTAATGTACTGACTTTTTTCTTCACAAAATTTTCAAGTTTTTCTCGATGTTGCTGTACGAAACCGTTTGGAAAATCCTTGATCATGTTATTAAAATCGTTCAATAGCTGTTGGTTCAGTTCTTTGAGGGACTTTGTAAGGTCTGATTTTGAAAGTGGTAACGCTATGGTAGATATAGATTCAACAAATTTGGTTTGAAAGTTTTGTACTTCTATTATTAGTGTTACAATTTTGGTTTTAATCTCACTTGCTATTAAGCTAATTGTTTTGTTATAATCCGCATAAATTTCATTCACTACATTGTCAGAAAAATTATTCTTCAACTTTTCGTTAAAATTTTTTAGTTCTTCGTATAAATATGCATCAATACCCTCTTGATCACATCCTTCGGCTTTATAATAAGGATTCATTTCGTTGACAAGTGCTTGAAAATCTTTCAATGCGTTTCTCTTTTCGTTTTCTGCCTCAATATACTGACTTTTTTCTTTACAAAAATTTTCAAGTTTTTCTCGATGTTGCTGTACGAAACCTCCTGGAAAATCCTTAACCATGTCATTAAAATTGCTCCATAACTGTTGGGTCAGTTCATTGAGAGACTTTGTAAGGTCTGGTTTTGAAAGTGGTAACTCTATGATAGACACAGATTCATCAAATCGGTTCTGAAAGTTTTGTACCTCTACTGTCAGTATTGCGATTTTAGTTTTTATCTCACTCACTATTAAACTGACTGATTTGTAATAATCTGCATAAATTTCATTCGCAGCATTGTCAGATAAACCCTCCGATTTCAACTTTTCTTCAAAATTTTTTAGGTCTTCGTATAAATATGCATCAATACCCTCATCATCACATCATCACATCCTTCTATTTTATAATAAGGATTCATTTCGTTGGCAAGTGCATAAAAATTGTTCAATGCGTTTCTCTTTTCATTTTGTGCTACAATATAATGGCCTTTTTCTTCAAACAAGTTTTCAAGTTTTTCTCGATATTGCTGTATGAAACCCTCTGGAAAATCCTTGATAATATCATTAAAATCATTCCATAGCTGTTGAATTAGCTCATTGAGAGACTTTGCAAGGTCTGGTTTTGAAAGTGGTAACTCTATGGTAGACACATATTCATCAAATCGATTCCGAAAGTTTTGTACTTCTACTGTCAGTATTGCGATTTTAGTTTTTATCTCACTCACTATTAAACTGACTGATTTGTGATAATCTGCATAATTTTCATTAACAACATTGTCAGATAAACCCTCCGATTTCAACTTTTCTTTAAAGTTTTTTAGCTCTTCGAAGAAATATGCATCAATGCCTTCATCATCACATCCTTCTACTTTATATTGAGGACTCATTTTGTTGACAAGTGCATGAAAATCATTCAGTGCGTTTTTGGCTAAGGTCTTAGCGCGAGCAATTTGCATTCTCTCAAAAATAGAGGTGATCGTATATCTTTCCGAGCTGGTGAGTGTCTTGCACAACAATTTAGTAAACTCAGCAATATCCCGGCCAGTCCATGGTTTTTCTATTTAGTAATTTAAAATTGGAATAAATTCTTGCAAGTTATAACAAATTCTAATAAAATCACCTACCAGCATTGTGCTTTGGTTCATTAACACTCAATTGGTCAGAAAATTTTTTTCGCATGTTCTTAAATGTTTGTTTCCAGTTGTCATTGAAGTCTTCAAAAAGTAATCTTTCACGATCTTGCACCAACCCATTTTTTGGAAAGAGCCATACCTATAATTTAAAAGTATATTTTGATACCATAGTTAAATAATTCCAGGATCGCAAATTAATTTAAATGGTTTCATACATCAATACTTTCAAAACAGTCACTTAACAGTTCACGAATACTGTTGTGTTCTCTGTCTTTATCTCGTTTAACTATTTTTTGAGGTTCTAGTAATAATTTTTTAACGTCTTCTGGTGTATTATTATTATTCCAGGAACGAAAAACAATATGGAGATGGCCATATGGTTTTGTATTTTGATGCTATGCAATACAGTATAGCAAACTTTAGTGACATTACATAATAGTAAATGAAGTTTTATTACATACTTGACAATTTGCATCACGTGTGATTCGTTTCGCTGAATTTGTCATTGCACCCAAACAATTAAGTATTGTATCTACTTGAAGCAGTCCAGGCCACCAGAAAATTGCAATTGTCGAAGTTACAAGGATAGGAGAGAAGAGGTAAATATCAAATTCATCGCCTTTATCTAGTAAATATCTAAAATAGTTTTTGTTATGTCTTTGAATGCCTGTTCAAGTTGAGATATAATTAACTTACTGCCTTGTCCCTCAGTGTCGACAAATCCAACTAAAACATTGCTGTCAATCTCTGGGTTATCGTTGAACTTTGAGAATTCCTTAAGTGGCACGAATATCTTGGAAATATCAACTCCCGTTGTAACTGTCTCCGAAACAGAAGAGGTCTTAAAAATCTCATTATCACAATTATCCACACCGCTAAGATATTCATTAATGTCGATTTTCCCGTTCTTGTAATGAGATATAACTTTTAGAAATTACACTGAAATTTTTGAACTGACAATAATATTTACGTACCTTGCTGGGCCAAAAATTGAGATAAGATTTACAGGTTCATTCTTAGTGCAAAGTAAAGAGGTAGCATTTTCTTCAACCTCGATATTGATTGCTGACACTGGGACTTCATTAATATTATCGCCTTGATCTTCATTATATTCATCACTAATCACTATCCATTTAAAAGAACTCATGTTTTAAAATGTTGAAAGCCTCAGTTTCAATTTTTAAGTTGACATCAAATTGCCTTTTTCCCAGAGCGTAACGGAGAATATTTATTTAAGTAAAGAATGTTAAAGTTACGTTTTTGATTCGCTATACTAGGAAAAAAATGATATAAAATCGCCAATATGTATTACCGACTAATTTTTAATTTTTCAAAAAACTACATTCATAAAATTACAGAAAACGGAGTTTAAACCTATTTTGGAACACAAAAAAAAAATAATAAATAAATATCGGAAGAGCAATTTTGCCTTTATGCTTGCCTAACCTCAACTTCAAACTTGTTCTAGCCCTAATTTTGGTTACTTCGTTTTAGATACACTTTCCAAATAAGGAAATTTGAAAAAGGGCTGACACATAATATCACGAAGCATATTGTTATAACGTGCAATAAAGCAAGAAAAATTTTGCTCTTTACCTCATGTTATTGCATCATATTGCACAAGATTTATATTTTACCGAAATAACGCCCACTTATGCGTTAATTGGCTGACTGCGCGTTATTACAAGTACAGTATGTCCATGTGGTTATTTCGAAATAAGGATTGAGGTTCTTTTTAATAATAAAAATTAGAAAGTGCTCTGGATCTGAGTTTGGTACTAACAAGTTTTTAAAAGCTTTTGTTAAAGCTCGAGTATAGGTTTACTTAATACTAATCCTAGCTCCCGAGAATGTGCGTTAATTTGGATGCTAATTTGAAACCAAATATGCTATTTTGGAGGTATCCAATATTCAAAATAACACCCACGAGTGTTATTTTATGTTCATACGGTACAATAGATTGTATAAACATACATCGGTATCATTTATCATTTTGACCGAAAAAAAATTTTTTTTTTGAGGTTTCTAAATTTGTCACTGTACAAGTTTTTTTGTCTTGAATAAAGTAACGATTATCTATAATTCTTTGTGCCCAAACATGGACTTTGTTGAAAATCATGAATTAAATTTGTCCGCATGAGTTTATTCATATACAGTATTATGTCAGATTTTCGCATGACATTTAAACTGTACCTATGCAAACTAGATCGCCTCAATCAATGTGTCAAAAATCATTGGAGAATAAATTTATTTTGCGGAAATAATATTTTAAATTGGTCAAGCGTGTTATCATTACAATGAATATAAATAATATCAATATGCGTAACTTGATAAGTTTTAGTTTAAAAAAAATATTAAATGAGTTTTCATTTCCATCAGCAAACTTTTGGGTGTTCTCAATAGAGTTGGGCAAGATAACAAAATAAATAATAAGTACTGATCATTACTTATTATTCACAAATGCAATCCGAATAATCTGAATGATATCAAGCTTATCTTGCAAATACCACGGTATCAATCATCAGTCAATCAATCAATCATCAAAACATAATATAATTAATAGCGCCACGAGTGTGTCCATTCTTAATTATCTGATTGGATAAATAAAGAGCCTTGACTAATAATAGAATATATTGTCGTATATCGCTGGCATACTGGCATAATCATATATCAGTTTTTTCTCACGATAATCATATATTCTTGTGATTATCTTTCCCAGAACTAATTAATATGTTAGAATACCCATAACCATTTTTTTATACCAAAGATGTTAATATATTTTTAAAAATTGATTAGCTTCTTATATCGATATATGAATGTCGCAATGAAATCCATACTTTTACAGTAGAATTACGAGCTTACATTTAGCAACAATTTTGCTATCGTAAAATTTTCAATTCAATACATACTGTCATGGCAAATATTTAACTCAGCTTCGCAAATAGTACTCATACATCAATCAATCATCAAAACTACCCACTGTCACGAATGCCATTCTACATCCAAGTATCTGATTGGTTATATAAGTATATGGCTTGTGATTTCAAACAATACTATTTCAAGTTGACTTATGCAGTAAGTTAGCCGGTCGAAAAGTTGGCTAAACAGGCATATGCTGGTGGGCAATCCGGTTAAGCCAGAATTAACTTTTATTTGAATCGATGTGTACATGAGTCTGATAAGTGATCTGAATTAATTACCTAATTTAGACGTACGTACGTACGTACAGTACATATTAACAATATCTGATATCTTAATTGTCAGGGCAAGTATAAGAAGATGCACGCTGTGAAAGTGTGACTTAATACTTTAAAGCCAAAACTAACTAATAACTATACTAAAACACTTAAACTATCTAATATACAACTCTAATACTTCAAAATTAATCTCAAGGTTCCTAGGACCTTGAATTGGAATGGAAGGCTTCGAATAGAGGCGTGGAAGACTTGGTCCGAGTTACAAGGTCACTTGGGTCTTGTAATGTTACCAGAGTTATTATAAGTATTCTTTGGTCTTGTTACCTCTTAGTGGTTTCTATTGTATCGATACTTCTATCACTAATATTTTTTATCACTTCAACTTAGGATGTTTGCTTCTTTAGAATCACGTGTTTACGTTGCCACGGCTGCGCTGCCTTCGGAAATTAATACGTCACAAGAAGATAATAGCTGGGTTCAGAACTTCAATTTATCAACTATGTCACGAGTGACTTATGTCGGCTATGATCGGGTTTTTAATATACTAGTAGATCACGAGTTTATGATATCACGGGAAATTGCTGATCATCAATCGGTCAATTGTTCGATTAATATTAATATTAATATTAATGCTGTAATGCCGATAATAATGAGGTTACGGGAATGATGGGGGTGGTCGGTCAACTAATAAAATCAAACCTATATGTGGACCCTAATAGATTTAAATAGTACAGATTTTTAATTATTTTATGTTACATGAAATAGATATCACTTTTTAATATTAAATTATTAGAAGAAAGTGATCATCTTTAAAATTTAATTCTTCCTACGAAAATAATTTTTTGATATAAAAAATAAGATAAGCCCGACCAGAAAGATATGCACTTTAATTTGTCATGTGAGCTTTTTGCGGTAGTATTTAAAATATAGCGTTTTTTTTGAATAATTTGTAAATATTATTAGATTTATAAGGGTCAAGTTCTGATATTTATTTTTCACGAATATCGGGTTTAAATTTGGCATAAGAGTTTAAATTACCAGTTGTAATCTATCAGTTAATATATTTATTTTGGTCAATAAATTAAAAAGTAGATAGCAAAATTGTATGGAGAAAGTTGCAAACCCGTAACTTTTCAACTTATATTCAGAAATTCACAGGTAAAAAGTGTACCATTGTAATCATAAATAAAACCTACTTATTCTCTGAAGTTTAAACTTTTCATGTTGCTATCACAAAATTAATTATGTTGCGGTAGCTGCAGCAGTGATATCAATCACAAATTTTCGGCTTTAATTGCACTACAACTGATTTAGTAAAGTTCATGTTCTTAAAATGAGATTATTAAATTCTTTTGGTCAAGTTTAGTAAATTCAATATTGTAACTAATTTAGCAAAAATTTATCAATTGTAGTCATAATTAAAGTGGTTAAAAGATAAATTATCAAGAAGTTTTTTTTATTTAATCATCAAATGTGATGCATTTAGCTTTTGTAGTTAATTTAGTATTTCTGAACAGTGTAATTTAATTTATCGATTATTGTAATAAATATTTAATTTTAAATTATCACGATGTTCTTTTCTTTTTTTAATTTATTGATTGTCATAAAGATTAGTAAATTGTTTGGATATTTTAATTGCATGCATTTCAATATTATTAAATTTGTAATTATAAAGAAATCAGAAAATTTATCACTTGTGAATAAATTGTCTAGTGTTTTTTTTAAAAAAATAACTTTTAAAAAGTATAAAAGCAAATGTGAATGTTAATATAGAAATAATATTTTGTTCATCATCTGCAATTATGATGTTAAAATATTCCAAAAAAATGTCGCAAATGATACAGCTAACAGCAAATCATGAAAAATCAAAAAAATTAAAAAAATATCTAATTTCCTTGAATACCTCAATAATTTTAGCTTATGAGATCTGATAATGGTACGTACGTAACTGAGAAATGGACATATTACACAAAATAGGCTGTCAGAAGAAATTTCATATTACACAAAATAGGCTGTCAGAAGAAATTCGAGTGTTATCAAGAAAATCTAACCTAATGAGAGAACATCTGAAAAAAATCGGATTCAATTGTTATCCAAAAAAGGAAACTATATTGACAGATAAATATAATAGTAGCATAGATGAAATTATCATTGTGTCCGAGAAAATATGCCAACTGGAAAAGACCTTTTTGATGGTTATAAATATCTACAGTAGATTACACATGAGGAGCCCTGAATTACTGCATTAAATTGGCAAGTGAATTCTAATCCAAACAAATGTTCCGGTGTTTAAGTTGTTTTGAGTAAACTTAGCCGTATTGCATCGCTTTCAACCTTTACATCGAGATTTAAAATTTGAAAATATTTTACAAGACCATTTACATAGTGCGTACGATACAGATATGAGGCTTATGATATGTCTAACATGAAATAAACCTTGTTTGGTAGATGAATACTAGATATTCATTTAATTTGTTGTTACATAATCTCTAAGTTAGTTTGAACCAGAATCAGATTGTCAATTGTACCAATAATCTACAAAAATTCTGCAGCTTGATGTTTAGATGTCCCCATTCATGAGATGCAATAACTATTCAATTTT